CACCTGCACCTTCCTCTCCCAAACCCCTGCCTACTCTTCCTCCTTGCACCAGCTCAGCCCGACCAGGACAGGAACCTCTCCAATGTGAGTAAGTGAGGCTCTCACACTCCCGGGGCCTCGGCTGGGGTCTCACAGGCTCCCTACTCTGACCCAGCAGGAAGGCCAGTGGGAGGCTGGGCCAGGGCTGAGCAGGGTTCGTGGTGGGGGCAGGGCCATCGCAGGGTGGGGTGGGGCAAGGGCCATGGGGAGTCAGGCCCAGGAGCTCCCAGCCAGCAGCTTCCTACTCCCAGACCTGACCCGGCTCCCAGACCCCAGGCCACCCAAGCCCTCCGGCCACAGGGACACTCACTTGGTCCAGGGCTGGCAGGCCTGGTCATTGCCCGGGGAGAAGTGTCCTGGTGGGCACGGGGCACAGTCTGCAACAGAGTCAGCAGGCTCTGCCCATCTGCCAGCCCTGGGATGCCCAGAGGCTCACTCCCCAGGTTCTCCAAGAGCCCCTCCCCACCTGCATGCCACCCGTGGGCCCTGACCTGGAAGACCCCCACCCCCATCTTGGTGTGATCTGCTGGGGAAGGGGCATTCAGCTGAGGCTGGGGTGGGGGCTCTGGGAGGAGCAGTGACAGCGTGTGAGGGACATGCTCCTTCCACATGGCTCCCAAGGCCCCCCTCACCAACTCCACGCTTGTAGCCGTAGCTGTCCTGGGGCTGGCTGCCCGGCCTGCAGCCACAGACCGTGTCTCTGGTTGGTGTGCATCTCTGCTTGGGTTCACTCCCGCTTCCTGGGGGTTGGGTGGGTGGGTGCAGTCAGTGGGGAGGCCAGAGCTGCAGAGCAGGCTGAGGATGGGGCCAAGGGTCCACAGCCACCTTCCTGGCCAGCAGCCCCTCACGGCTGGGCAGCTTCTGGTTCTCTCTCATCGCGCACGCCACATCCCTCCTGGTCACACGGCCCCAGGGGTCACCCGCGGCAGCTCTGACCACCCTTCCAACACCCCTCCAGTCTGCTCAGGACCCTCCGCAGCCCTTGACTCTGGGTCTCACCCCACCCCCCTCAGAGCCACGTGGCCCTGGCCCCCTAGGAAGGGGAGGTGCCCTGTGGGTCGTTTCAGCTGCCTGTGGGGCCCCGGGGGGCAGGGCAGGCCCCCGCCACGGTCGAGTCTTGACGTGGGTGCCAGGCACCCGTGGTGCTCACTCTGGCTGCACTGGGTGCAGGGCTTGCAGGGCTCGTAGTTGACGGCCTCATTGTAGTAGCCGGGCTTACACGGGCGGCACACTGTGTCCCGGTCATGGGTACAGCGGCTTTCCATCCCATAACCTGCTGAGGGAGGCCGGGGTCAGAGCCCTGCACAGCCCGGCGATCCCCCAGGAGCCCCACCCAGCTTCTGGCTGGCCCGTCATCCCAGGTGTGGCTCCAGATCACCCACTAACCCAACTACACTTGCCTCACGACACCTGCAGCGCGTGACCCCATCTGCAGGTTCCCGCCGCCCCATCCATGTCCTCCGATCCTATCTCCTGGTCCTAGGTCCCTGCAGGCACCTCTCCCCGACTCCATGTCCAGGCCACTCACCTGGCTGGCACTCTTTGCAGCACCTGTTGCCACTGGGGTAGGTGTCCCCAGGACAGCGGGGCTGGGCTGCAGCACCCAGCACGAGCCCGAGGAGCAGGAGGGCTGAGCCCGGCACCCTGGGCGGCTGGGTCCCCACGCACATTCTCAGCTCCTCTCAGCTTCGAGGCTCTGGGAGTCTGGGGTTTTTCCTTGCAGGAAGTGGCTATAAGGGCTGCGGGGGAGGGGTGGGGAGGGCGAGGAGGGGACTAGGAGGGCCCCAGGAAGCGCTGGAAGGTAGCTAGTCTGGGAAGCCCACTCCCAGCCTTCTTTTCTGGCCCTGGGGCCCAGGGGCCCCGACCCCGCAACAATACCCACAGGCCTCAGCTCAGCCCAGCCAGCAGCTGTGGTGTGTAGACCCAGGGCCCGAGGGGGACCTGCAGCTCCCCCAGCCCTGCCAGGGCCAGGCCAGTTCTCCAGTCCAGCTGGTCTGCACCAACACAGGACACTCTCACTCCTGTCTCACGGTGAAGTGGAGCCGGAGCCCTTTCGGCCAGGCATCTTGGCTGCCCCCCTGCCCTGCCTGGCCTAGCCAAGCTGCCCAGACCAGAATGGTCTTGGGATGCCTTCACCTGGCTTGCTGCTTCTAGACTCCCACTTTCTCTGCAGGGCCGAACCCTCAGGAAAAATGGGGGGGGGGGGGCGGGGCGGGCCACAGCCCCACTGATGCCAATCCTCACCCTCCACTTCGCCAAAGGGTGCCCAGAGTCCGTGGGTGAGCCAGGGCAGCACATGGGGTCAGGCATCAACTATGGGGGAGGGGAGATGGTACTGGGGGCTCTGGAGCATGGTCACCGGCCCAAGGGTCCAAAAGTAGCCCAGACCAATGCCAGCAGTTCTGATGGACTGGGCCCCTCCTGACCAGTACCCACAGTGAGCGCCAACATGGGCACGGGTGTGCAGGCGTGTGCAGGTGTGAGAGAGCAGCTGCATGTCCCTGAGCACAGCAGGCGTCAGGGGCTGAATTCACAGGCCACAACCCGCACATGGAAGCCCGACCCTCATGAGGCTTATACTGGAAGAAGAGGCCTCTTAGGGGGCAAGGATGGCGTGGTGGGGACACAGGTGGGCTTGTGTCCATGTAAGAGGAGGTCAGAGCACAGACATGCACAAAGGACGACCACATGAGGACACAGAGAACACAGCTGGCTACACGGCAACACCGGCCGTGCCCACACCTGGGTCTCTGATGTCCAGCCTCCAGGACTGGAAGAGGATAAGCCGCCCACGCAGACCCAACACATGCTGCTGGTCAAGCACTGCCGGGTGTCCTAGGCGTGATGTGTGCCTGGGAGTGTGTGTCAACCACGCGTGGCACGCATGTGTGGTGCTAGCCCCACGTGCCCGGACGTGTGTGTGCTGCCCCCGTGAACCCCTGGGCTTGTGTCTGGAAGGGGTGGCCCATGAGGACAGACCCTCTGCTCTGCCCCCTGGCTGGACAAGCGCTGCCTCTCCCAACACTCTGGAGGCCATGCTAGGCTCTCCCTGACCCCACAGCCACCCGGGTTCGGGGGGAGGGACAGGAAAGACAAGCCCCGGGGCCCTCGGGACAGCAGGACGGCCAATATGCCGTCACTGTGGGGTGTGAGCGGAGATGAGCACAGACACGCATGCACACATGTGCACATGCTTCCTCCCACACAGAGCTCTCATCCTGGCGCCCCACGGCAGAGGCCTTTCGTGTCTTCGGTGCCTTTAAAATCTGAACCAAGAGACAAGATTCTCTGCTTAACGGTTAACCTGAAGCTTCAGGCGGGGAGCCTCCCGCAGGAGCTGGAAATCCCCCTCCTCCTGGTGGTGACGGGCACAGGTAAGAAGTTCCCTCCCCACCTGCGGGAAATTCCACCAGCCGGCTCTGCCCGCAGCGGCCGCCGCAGGTCGCTGGCCCAGCCTCCAGAGAGGGAGGGTCCACAGGGGAGGGGCAGAGCACCCAGGCAGCCTGCTATACACACGTGTGCATGCAAGTATTGTACCCCTCTCCCACTGAAGGTGAGAAAAACATTTTTAAGACAAACTATAGCTTCTGAGATGGCAATAACTCAGGGCCTGGCAGCACCCTACTCCTTACAGGACCACCCCGCCCTCTGCCCAAGGCCCTGACACCTGCCGCATACGGGGTCCACATGTGGCAGCCCATGGACCTAGCTGATTGACATCTCTGTCCCAGCTAAGTTACACCTGCTGGCGGCTGCCCGCCCACACGCTCAGCCCCAGCCACCGCCATGGGCCCCGCACTCTGTCTCAGTTCTGAAAACATTCTTTCCTCTTGTTTGTCTGGAAACCAGCTCGGTCGCCGCGCCCTGCTCCTCTGGGGCAGCCCCTCCCCACACTGCTCGGAAGCAGGTCACATGGGCAGCTCAGGCTGGCCCAAATGCCCACCTGGCCGGAGCCCCCACCCCAGCTGAGGCCCACGCACACCATCTGGCCAGGTGAGCCATCCACTGAGGCCCCATGGGCTCAGGCCTCCGACGGTGCCCAGCAGGGGCCAGCTGGGAGGCTGCGAGCTTGGTGGTTGACCCTCCCTCAGTCATCTGACCCCCAGTGTGTCATCTCTTCCACCCCACACGGCAGCCACGCACCACGCATGGCAGAACCTGGGAAGGGGCCGGTAGAGGACCTGTTGCCTCATCTCCCCCACTGCAGGCTCCCAACTCCCCAGCCTCACCACAGCCCCCTGAGCTGCTCCTCCCCATCCCCCGCAGTAAGCCCCAAGCCAGGACTCCTGTGCTTTCCAAACTCTGTGAGTGCCCCTAGTTCTCCACCCCCACCCCTGGGAGCTCTCATCCTCAGAGCCCCCCAGAAGTCCCATTTCCTCCTGGTCCCTCCCAGGTGGCCTCACCCAGGCCTGGACTCTTGCTCCTGACTTTAAATTGGCAGCTGAGGCCCCACCAGATCACAGGTGAACGTCAACGCTAGGAAGCCCCGGGTTTTAACCAAACCGCCCACCGCAAAGCTTCAAGGGGAAGCCGCCTGGCCACAAACGTCCGAAGTAATCATCTACGTGTTTTTTTTTCCCATCAAAAAAATGAAGCTGAGAGAAAAAGGCAACTATATTTTGAAGTAAATTAATGTGATTCCTGTCACCAATATTCATGCTCCTCAGAGACTGAAGGCCATGGGCTGGCAGCTCTCACAGCCCTACCCAGCACCCCACCCCACCCTGGCCACTGGCTGCCGGTTTCCAGCAAAGCTTCACCTTTCAGTTTTCGAGGGAACAGCAGGAGCTTCGTTGTTTCCCACGGTGGGGGAGCCCGCCGCCCTGATGTGGTCAGTGTCTCCGGCAGCAGGGCTCTGAGTTCTCAGAAGCGAGATGCAGCGATTACACTGGAATCAGAGTGCGGGCAGCCCGCGAGGTGCTGCGGGGGGTGGGGAGGGGGGCGGGGGATGCGGCGGTGGCTCAGAACTCCTCGTGCACGCTGCGGGCGTAGTCCACCAGCTTGCTGCCTGTGAAGAACTCACTGTACTTCAGCACCTCCTCAGGCTCCAGGTAGTGATTCTGGTTCTCGTCAGCGATAGCGATCATCTGCTTGGCCTCATTGAGGGCGCTGAACTCGTTCATGGGGTCCATGTAGTCCTGCAAGGGCAGCAGGTCAGCCCCAATGCACCCCAAACCCACCCTGGGCCAGGGGCATCTCCTTATGTTCAGGCCACACCCATCTCCACAGCCAAGACCCCCCTGAGGACACCCTGCACTCATGGGGCACCTGCGCCTCGGCTACAGCAGGCGGAGCCTGGCCTGAAACATCCATCGGCTGGTAGGACAGAAACTGTGGAGCAAGGAGGTGGGCCTGTTCTGGAAGGCGGGCACCAGGCTGGAAGTGGCTCAGGGCCAGGCAGCCTCCACCTGTGTGGGCACCTCCCTGCCCATATCAGGGTGTCCAGCCACAGAAAGGCAGGGGGAAGGGAGGCCCTGGAGTGGGGCACATGCACACCAACCGCCAGGACGGCAGTGCTGACAGGCAGGGGTTCCCAAACCAGACATCCTGCCAGCTATGAGCAGGGATCAGGGGATTCTGGAATAAAATACAATGACTCATCCAGCCACGGGAGCAAACAAGCCCATGCAGCACCTGCACACGACATCAGGGAAGACACAGATGGGCAGGCAATGGGTCTAGCCTGTGCACAGCCCTCCTGCCCGAGTCTGGCCAGACTGCCCATGGGCGACAGCACACCCGGGCCCAAGAAGGGGAGCCCATGACATCGGCTGCATAGCCCAGCTCAGAGGCTCCAGTTCCCGACCAGTGCCCAGCCGCAGCCAGACCAACTCTGCCTCCCCGCACAGGATGGCCCCACACCCACCTCCAACTCCGCCATGGTCACGATCCCATCGTGGTTGGCGTCGATCAGCTCCTCAAACTCTCTCTTCCTATCCCGCACCCAGCCGTCATCAACATCCTGGCCCTGCTGGTTCTCCACGGTGCCCACGGGCAGAGAGATGAACTCAGACAGCGAGAGCTTCTTGTCACCGTCCTGGTCTGCGGGACAGGAGGGCAGATGTCAGACTTCAGTGGGCACAGGACCACCAAGGCCACTCGGGAGAAACAACCAATGGGGCTTTGCCACCAGGTTTTTAGTTTGTGTGGTTTCAGCGTGACCGAGAACAGCGACCACACAGTCCCCCAGGCCACCCAGTCTAGGACCGGCCCAGGCTGACCTCTGCGGCCAGGCCTCACCCAGGTCCCGGATGATCTCCTTGACCATGAACTGCAGCATGCCACGACTGTGCTCGGGGTGCAGGAACGATAGGAACTCGCTCTCTGTCAGCAGCAGGTCCGGGGGCGGGTTGTCCGCCTGATACCAGCGATCTTTGAGGTTCTCCAGGACTTCCTGTGCTGAGAGAGGTGTGTCCATAAGGACCCAGGCACACATGACCGCTGTGGACATCTGCAAAGTTCTGAGATGCACAGCCCAAGAGAAGGGGGCAGCTCGGGACACAGAGGTGCCAGGACAAGGACCTGGCCCTCAGAGGGGAACTCAGCCCCCAGAGAACAGATGCCCAGGCCCCCAAGACGCAGACGCAAACTCTCAACTAAACAGGACCCCCAACCCAGACACAGGCCCCTTCAGACACAGACCCCCTCCCCAACCCCAATGCAGCCCCACTCCTACTCGCTCCTGGGCAATGGAAAAAGTGCGGCCGGGGCCGCCAGCTCTGCAGGAACAAAGGCACAGCATGATTCCCTTCTGTTTCCTCCCATTCACTGGATAGTGCTCTGAAGGAAAACCCAGTCTCCAGAGATAAGTCATGTGTCCCCCAAGCGACACTCACTCCCCCTGCCATGAGAAGGCCCAATGCAGGGAGTGGGGACCCTGGGTGCCAGTGGTCGGCAATGACCTACGTGCCCAGCGGGGGAGGGGGAAAAGCAAGCCTAGTACACCCAAAGCCTGCAAACGAGACCTGATTTGGAAAGAAGGTCTTTGTCGATATAATTGGTGAAAGGTCTTGAGGTAAGACCACTGGGATTCAGGTGGGCCCTCAGCTCAGGTGTCCTCGTGCAGGAGGAGAGACTGGAGAGCAGTGGCCATGAGCAGGGACCTGGCAGCACCGGCTGGAGGCCTGGAAGGAGCCTGTCTGGGTGCACTGGGTGCCCGTCTGGGACAGTGGCCTTGGGGACCCACAGTGGCTCACCACTCAGCCCTCCCCCAATGCACTCTAGGGCCTCCGGGTGCCCCGACACTGCCCTTCACTTCTGATCCCAGATCTGCGCACCCCCAGCCCAGATGCATGAGCACAGGGGAGTCAGTTGAGGGCTGTGCAGACAGAGACTCCACAACCTCTAGATCCAGGAAGGACACATCCCGACCCACACACACCTCAGGGAAAGGGTGCTGAGGACAACCAGGCAGAGAAAACTGGCAGCTGCCCGAGAAACCAGCGCCAAATCTCCAATGCTAGCAGGAGAACCAGGCCCCCAGCCACCTCTAAAGGACACCTTCAGGGGACTGTCTGAACCACAAGACAAACAATGAAAACACAAAATGGAGACATATAAAAATGGCCAATAGCCATTTTAGGAAGAAAATAAGGTTTAAAAACAACAGCAGAACCAAAATCCTGGGTGACATCACCTGCACAGGAAGGGGGCATCTATTCCACCCAGGAACAGACTGAAATGCTCTCAACTTGTACTCTGTTAAGTTAAACGGGTATCATCCATATGAGCAGGAAAAAGTAAAGCTATAAGATACAAACCCCTGCCCACAACAAGCAGCCCTCATGGGCACACCTGCAAAGCTGGGCACCCCCTTCACACCTGTCAGGCAGCCATGTGGGGTCATGTGACTGCTGAGAAAAGGAAAGTGGGGCATCTAAACCCCATATCAGCAGAGGGAAAGATGAAAGGGAAAAAAAGAAATAGAAACAGTAATGAGCTTATCTCATGGATTACAAAGACAGACTGGCTCACAAAATAAAGCTAAACTTCATGTAGCCCATGAAAAAAGGAAATGCTTTGGAAAGACCAAGCCTCAAGGGCAGTTCACAGTTGAATTCTACACAATATGTGAGGAGGAGGCCACATCAATCTCCACAACCTCTTCCAAAAGAGAGCACAGGGAACACTTCTTGACTCCCTCTATGAGGTCCTAACAACAAACATAGAAAACACACAACAAGAAAAGAAATCTACAGACCAGTACCTCACATGAATACAAATGCAAAACACTCAACAAAATATTAGCAAATCAAACCCAACAATGTACACAAAGATTACAATCCAAGTAGGATTTATCCCAGAAAGGCAAGGTTGGTTCAACATCTGAAACTCAGTCTGATATTCACATCAACATGCTAATGAAGAAAAATCACATGATCCTACCAATAGATGCCAGCAAATTTGGAAAACTCACAGTGCCCACAGGACTGGAAAAGGTCAGTTTTCATTCCAATCCCAATGAAGGGCAATGCCAAAGAATGTTCAAACTACCGCACAATTACACTCATTTCACATGTTAGCAAGGTAACGCTCGAAATCCTTCAAGCTAGGCTTCAACAGTATGTGAACCAAGAATTTTCAGGTGTACAAGCTAAATTTTAAAAAGGCAGAAGAACCAGAGATCAAATTGACAACAGCCACTGGATCATAAAAAAACCAAAAGAATTCCAGAGAAATATCTACTTCTGCTTCATTGACTACACCAAAGCCTTTGACTATGTGGATCACAATAAACTGAAAAATTCTTATTAAGATGGGAATACCAGACCACCTTACCTGACTGCTGAGAAAACTGGACACATGTCAAGAAGCAACAGTTAGAACCAGACATGGAACAACTGACTGGTTCCAAATTGGGAAAGGAGTACATCAAGGCTGTATATTGTCACCCTGTTTATTTAACTTCTATGCAAGACACATCATGAGAAATGCCGGGCTGGATGAATCAAAAGCTGGAATCAAGATTGCCAAAAGAAATATCAACAACCTCCGATATGCAGATGATACCACTCTAAGGGCAGAAAGTAAAAAGGAACTGAAGAGCCTCTTGATGAGAGTGAAAGAGGAGAGTGAAAAAGCTGGCTTAAAACTCAACATTCAAAAAACTAAGATCCTGGCATCCAGTCCTATCACTTCATGGCAAATAGCTGGGGAAAAAGTGGAAACAGTGGCAGATTTTGTTTTCCTGGACTTCAAAATCACTGTGGACAGTGACTGTAGCCACAAAATTAAAAGACGCTTACTCCTTGGAAGAAAAACTATGACAAACCTAGACAGCATATTAAAAAGCAGAAACATTACTTTGCCAACAAAGGTCAATCTAGTCAAAGTTATGGTTTTTCCAGTAGTCATGTATGGATGTGAGAGCTGGACCATGAAGAAGGCTGAGCGCCAAAAAACTGATGCTTTTGAATTGTGATGTTGGAGAAGACTCTTAACAGTCCCTTGGACAGCAAGCAGATCAAACCAGTTAATCCTAAAGGAAATCAACCCTAAAAATTCATTGGAAGGACTGATGCTGAAGCTCCAATACTTTGACCACTTGATGCAAAGAGCTGACACACTGGGAAAGACCCTGATGCTGGGAAAGACTGAGGGCAAGAGAAGGAGGGTGACAGAGGATGAGTTGGTTGGATGGCATCATGGACTCTATGGACACGAGTTTAAGCAAGCTCTGGGAGATAGTGAAGCACAGAGAAGCCTGGTGTGCACCAATCTATGGGGTCGCAAAGAGTCAGACATGACTTAGCAACTGAACAACAATGACAATGCAAAAAGCATCTGACAAAATCCATTCATGAACACTCTCAGTAGACTAGGAACAGAGAGGACTCATCACCTTCATGAAGAACATCCACAAAAAATCTACAGCTAAGATCATAGTAATAATTAATGGTGAGAAACTCAAAGCTTTCCCACTAAAATCAGATTTAAGGCAAGGATGCTCCTTTTCACCACTGCTTTTCAACATTGTATTGGAAGTCCTGATGCATTAGGACAAGAAAAGGAATAAAAGGGACAATGATTGGCAAAGAGAAAATATACCATCTTTGTTCAACAATGTCACAACTGCCTGTGTAGAAAACCCAAAAGAACAGACAAGAAACTCCTGGAACCACTGAGCAAGTACAGCAAGGCTGCAGGATGGAAGGCAGACATACAAAAGCCAGTCACTTTCCTGCACACCAGCAAGAACAAGTGAAACTGGGAATTAGAAACTAAAGAGGAACTTCTCTGGTCCAGTGGCTACGACTCCATGCTCCCAATGCAGGGGGCCTGGGATTATCTCTGGTGGGGGAACCAAATCCCAGATGCTACAACAAAAGTCTTGCAAGTCACAGCAAAGATCAAACATCCCCATGTGCTGCAACCAAGACCCAGCACAGCCAAATAAGTATTTTAAAACAATAACAATAAACCTAAAAAAAAAAAAAAAAGCAAGTGCAAACAGAAAGAAGGCATGGATTGCCACTCAGCGGCAAAGAAGGGAGTCCAGTCCTAGAAACACCAACCCTGACAAAGAACAGTGGTGCCCACAGTGCATCTACAAATACACAACACAGCAGCAGCGGCCCTCACAAAGCAGAGGCAGGCAGGGTCACAGACACCTGCAGGAGGCCATGATACACTCAACCCTGATGGCCAGGTGGATACGAGACAAACAGGGAGCATCACAGGTACAGGGACACACCAGAGAAAGTCCATCAAGAGAAAACAACACACTGGATGACAACAGCAGCGATTACATGCCGAGGAAAAGACAGAACAGGAGACCACAGGTGGCATGCTGTGCTCTGACAATGCCCATTGAGCCGAACCTGACACCTGGCTGCGAACAAACCCCCAGGGAGGGATGGGAGGGCGCAGAGCTGAAGACAGTAACCACTAACTGTCGTAAGAATTCTTCAGTGATGCTTTAGAACTCAGCTAACAGGTATCAAATTTTGTATCAGTGAGACAGGTTTTTAGAGGAACTTCTCTGAAAAGCTAAGGGGACAGTTACATCTGTCGCCACACTCGGTACCACGGTCACCAGGCACCACGGGCAAGCACCCCCACAACCTCACTGCCTCTCAGGGTCAGACCTCGTCCAGGGTTGAGGACCAGTCCCAGCCGAGACCTGCTTCCCAGTGCTCTGGTACGTTCTGCCACCTCCTCCCCAGAGCTCAAGCCACTAGAGACTGCCATCTGTCCCTGGGCCTCCCCCACATCATGCCTGAGGGTCCTGGAAGTTCTGCCTAAAGACCCTGCAGGGACACGGGCTGTGGCCATGTCTCACCCACGCCCCTCCCGGCACCTGCACTATCTCGGCGCCACACTGGCCATGGGAGCCAAGCACTCACTCTCCTCATCGATGTTCAGGTCCCACTTATTCTTTATCTTTTCAGCAACTTCTCTCTCATTGTGGCCTTTGGTCGCCAAAAACTTCACCTTGTACTCATCCCAAGATACGTGGCCTGAAAGAGCAGACCAACCTGTTAGGAACTTTAACAAGGAACATTTTTTAAAAAGAGAATTTTAGTTATTTTAAGTCATCGGTCAAAAATCCTTGTGCCACAGGCAGCTACAGAGGCAGAAGCAGCAAATCACCAGCTTCAAGCTTCATCCCTGAGCCCAGCCACAGGGTCTCTGCCTGAGCCCAGCCGTGGGGTCCTCATTTGCACAGCCAGTGGGCCGCCCTCCTCTCCCTCCCTCGTCCTAGAGCCCCACTCCTGCCCATGAGCTGTCCTCTGCTGGCAGCCTCGGCCCCTCAGGGTCAGGCCGTGGGCTGGCCATACCGTCACCATCAGGGTCCACGGCTCGGAAGTGCGCCCTGCTCTCGGCAACAGCCTCCTGGAAGTGTTCAGCGGTCTTCTGCATGATCCAGTTCTGCATCTCCTTGGCGCTGATCCTCCTGTCGGTGTTCAAATCCACCCTGCGGGCCCACAGGCTGTATCAGACAAGGCCTCCAGGACCCCGACAGACAGACAGAAGGACGGCCAGAGGGGCTCCACAGGAAGTATGAAACCACCAAAAACAGGGACACAGGAAAAGTTGAGTAGATATGGGGGAATCAGGGAGCACGCTGGGCAGTATGCCTGGTCCTACACCATCAGTCTTGGGACCACCTTGCTACAGGATGGGGAGAACCATCAACCCAGTTCTTCGGACCACACACTTGGGACGCAAGCCTAATGAGCCCCAGTAACAGGACTGGATTTCAGACACCAGAGGAAAGTCGAGTTGACACACAAATACAGCCAGCGAGACAAAGAAACAGCTGTAGATGTGTGTTGAGAGGTGTGCAGATGTGTGTACATGGCTAGTGCACACCCATGGACATGGGTCAGAACGCACATGCATGTGTGAGTTGGTGCAAACAAATGTACACACAGGTAAGTATGCACAGGTATGTTATCAAGTCCATGGAGAGGACTACAAGCAATGACACCCCAGCAGCAATGCCCACACCCACTGCCTGGTTCCTTATCTCTAAATCCCACTCTCCAATGAAATAAACTAGCACTCCTTGGAGAACTGTGGCAGGAACATCACATAAGGAAGTGAAGCTGGAGTGGCTGACAGTGCAAGAAAGGGAGGAAGTGCTCAAAACAAGGAGCTGGGGGTTGATGATGTCCTGATGGCCAAGGCTGGAACGGATGAGCAGCGAAGGCTGGAACAGGGGAGTAGCCAGACAAACAGCACAGAGCTGGGTCCCCTCTAGGGTGCAGAAACACACCCACAAGTCCGTCGTCCTCACGGAATTCCAGACTACACGGTGGGTCTTCCCTGAGCTTAGCTCCCACCCCCAGCAGGGTGGGCTGCCTCTCCCTGAGTGGCTGCCAAAGAGATCAGAGAACATGACAAGGAGCAACTCTCCTTGGCAGATACCACCTGAGCCAGGTGACCAGGCCTACAGCCCCTGTGATGTCGTGCAAAGTCAGGTGCCCTGATGTGATGTGACAAGAGGGCACCTCACTTCTGGGGTCTTCTTTCCACAACCCCTGTCCAACCAGAAGAAAACACAGCAGACAAACCCCAAACAGGGACATGCTACAAACACCTGAGGAGTCCTCCTCATAGCTGTCAAGGCCACGAAAAGGTAGGATCCTGGATGGGATCCAGGGCAGAAAGAGGACCCTTGGGCAGCATGTGACCTGAAGTCTGGAGTGCCGGGAACAGTAATGGAACGCTGTCGTGTTTTAATTTCCACAAATGTGCCTCGGTTTGCAACTTTTCTATAAATCTAAAACTGCTCCCAAAATAAAAACCTTGCGTAAGAAGTGCTGTGGCAACATTACTTCTGCTTGCTCAAAACTAGGTCCTGAGGCTTCTTGTTTGCTCTGGTCCGGGCGGGGACAGGTGAGGAGACAGCAGTTGGCATGTGGGAAAAACACGGGGCCACACGTGGGAGAGACGGGTGTGTGGGGAGTCTGAGCAAGAAGGTAAATGCAGGCTATACACCCCCAGCCCCACGACAACCCCACCAGACACAGGATGTATAACAAAAATGTACAGTGTGGACGGACAGGGCTAGAGCACATCTGGTCAGCCCCAGGACGCCCGGTCCTTTGGAGACCAGTTTCTGCATTTCCCCGCGACTTGGGGGGTTCCCCATGACCTGAACCCCACTGCCACCCCTGGGTGGGCACAGGGCACAGCTCAAGGCTGCACATCCATGGCTCAAATGCTGCCAACTTCCCAAGAGCACGTGTCAAGTCTCTACCTCCACAACACGACACCAAGCAGGGACTCGGTACAAAACCAGGGCGGGACCAACAGAGGGGCTGAGGCCAGCCACTCCCATGCCCCCCGCAGTCCCCACTGACACCTACTTGGAGAAGATGACCATCAGCTTCCTCCGGCTCTTCCGAGGCTCTGCGTCCTCCTCAAAGTCATCCATGTCCTTGCCCAGGAAGACCTCCTGGTGGAAATCTTTGTTGAGGTGCCCATCCATCTCCAGCTTCACCCCATTCAGGTGGTCCGGGGGCAGGATCTCATTTTCCTCCCTATTACCTGCTCTCTCTCGAGCAGACGAGTGGTTGGCAGGCCGGGCAGATGCATCCATCAGAAGGACAATGCCCAGGAGCCAGAGGCAGCAAGGAGCCAGGCCACAGAGGGGAGCGTGCCTGGAGGCCATGGCCTCCGGGGTCTGCGCTGAGGGACAGGCTGCAAGTGTGCCCAGGAGCTGTGGAGAGAGAGGGGGGTGGGTAAAGAAGCGGGGAGGTGGCGACCACAGCCACCCACCACATCAGGCACTGCAGAAGGCCTTGCGGCTCATGCAGCACAGCTGCCCGTGGCCAACAGCTTGAGGCAGCCAGGCCCCGACTAGCCCTTAAATGTTTACAAGAGGATCCAGAGCCATCAGCCAATGGAGCCCCAGCAAATGCTTGGCTAAAGAGATGCTTACTTGGTAACTCGAAATACAAGTCCTCAGTTTCCAGGGCCCGTGCTGGACGTCCTGTTTTTGTTTTCGCCAGTTCTTACTCCCTCCCCAAGGTACACCCTGCATCGCTAGCCCTCTCCCCCTTCAGGCCCACAGCCCAGTGCCCAGCACAGTCAGTCTCAACTTGCTGGCAAAGAAGCTGACCCCAGAGTCACAACTCGCACTCCAGATGCCAGCTCAGCACTCAAGCCCTGGGACCAGAACTAAGGCACCAGAGCTCCTCAGCCTCAGGCTCCTGCCCAAAGGCTCTGTGACACCTGGGACCAACAGAGCCCAAACCATCAAGTAGGGAGCCACCCCTCCCACTTGCCATCTCCATGACTCTCGTGTACACACATGTTCACATGTAAACACAGCATGTGCATGCACATGAGGCGTGCACATGTGCACCTGTGCACATATACACGTGCACACATATACGTACCTACACACATAAACCCACATGTGCTCACATGCACACATAATACATGTCCTTGCTCCAGGGTCCCTCCCACCACAGGACCACATAATACACGTCCTTGCTCCAGGGTCCCTCCCACCACAGAACTCCTCAGAACCTACGTGCCCCTCAACGTGTTCCTCTTGGAGCCTGTTCACCAGGCAAACACCTTCTGACCCTTCCAGGTGCCTCAGAGGCCCCCTCCAGCAGGCCTGAGAGGGAGCAGCAGAGGGAAGCTCCTCAAGCCAGGGTGCCTGTTGGCAGCCAAGCTGAGGCACAAAGGGTTCCTGAACCACAGTGCCCATCACCAGACCAAGGAGACCCCTGTGCTGGCCGCAGCATGACAGAGGCCAGAGCCATGGGCTCTCCCTGGCCGGCAGACACTTGCTTCTCTGATGCCTCTTTTCTGTTCTACATGCTCCTGGCTAACATCTCCCCTGGCAGGGGCACACCTCTGCACATCACTCTGATGAGGACAGAGTAAAGAAACAAAGCAAGTAATTAAATAGTTAACCCCACTAAGGTATCATAAGTAAAGGAAAAAGTATGGGAGACCCCTGTAAGTTAATGATAACTTAAGAGAACAGGTCTGCCTAACCACAAAACCAAGCAGTCTCGCGTAGCAACAAAACCGTGCAACAGAAGCACAAGACATGCCCCAAAGCAATAAAACAATGGTGGAATAAGACCTACATCCTGCCTGCAAAGTCAGGAAGTTAATGATTCCTAGGACAAGCTCCTCTGGGCTCACTAAAAACAAAAATATAAGGAAAAGGTCACATTATACTGAAACCTGAGATGATTTACCATACTTAAGTTACCACCTTTTTACTCAGTCCCACTGCACCAGGACAGCCCAAGTATGACCACATGGGGACAGGGCAGCTTGACCACAAAGGGATAGGACAGTTTGATCACGCGGGGACAGGACAGCGTAACCACACAGGGACAAGACAGTTTGACCAGCTAAGAAAAAGAAGGTCCCCACCCAACATGGAGGAGGAGCTGATGATGGAGGAGTGGCGTCTACTCAAGAACAAGGAAGAAGATGGTCTTCTCTCCCTCCCTACTGTCCTTTGGCTATAAAAACGGAGTAGCTTAATTCTCAGGGCAGAGTCCCCTTGCCTACCTGCTTGTATCTCTCATAAACGTCTTACACTATAAACTCTTCCTCACTTGTCACCCTGGGGATCACTGAATTCTTTCTGCGCCAGACAAAAGAACCTCCACTTACTAAAGACGCATCTGTCGGTTTCATGTTCTCTGGGCCCAGGTGCTATCTGGACCCCTGGACTAGATCCTGCTCTCCTGGCTCAGCTAGCTCATTCCTTAGAGGGGAAACTGTCTCACGGATGGGCAGCCTTGCGGCCCTCTTTCCATGTTTGAGAGCACCTGTACCCTCCTCACCAGAACCCACCTGCTGTGCACTCTATGCTGCCACCGTCCCCTCAACCACGCCTGCTGGAACTCCAGTTTGTCCCCCTCTGAGAGCACTGTCCATGCAGCAGGCCTTTCCACTCCACCACCATGTGTATGTTTCCGGAGTTCCCGAGCAAAGCAAGACAATTTCCTCCTGATCTAAACACAGCCCTTGTGACTCATGGCCATAAACACACAGGTGTCCTGTCCAAACGGACTGAACTTCACTTTTGGAAAGAACGGTCAATGCCAGACTGCTTGTCTTGATGGTCGTACAGGGGGTGTTATTTACTTGATATTTCGCACAAAGAGTAAATGACCAGGTAGTTATCAGATTAGGTAGACTTCCTCTCCTTGGTTCACAAAACCTTGTTTCTGCACCTTGTTAAGCACAGGAGTCAGTCGCTCACTTCTCTCCCGTCCCAGCTGAAGGGATTCAGAGCAGGGGCTGCCCTACAGACTGGGGGACCCTCCCTGGGCTCCTGAACACCCCTGGGGCCCACTCTGTGAAACAGGTAAGGCCACCGTCGTTAAAAAGCAAACGGTTTTTTAATAGATCCGTCCCCGGCTTCAGGAGTCGCACACGGCGTAGGCAACGACAGGCCCAGGCCGAGCCGGGTGTCCCGGGCCTCAGGTGGATCGGATGCTCCCCACCCCCAGCACGGCGGGGCCGCGACCCCTGACCCCGCTCCACCGACCCCCGACCCAGGCATCCGAGGGGCCCGGTCGGCGGTAGCTGCGGGCCGTCCGAGGCCCAAGTCGGCTTGCGTGCCCCCTTCCCGCCGCCCCGGGGCCGGGCGGGAGCTGTCACGCCCCGCGGCCCTCACTCACCGGCCTCCCTCCCCTCACCCAGGATCCGCGAGCGCGGCCTGAGCGCCCGCTACGGCTCCAAAGGGCCTCCGCTTAGGCCGCAGCCATCTTTCTTCCGGGAAGAGGCGGGTCGGGTGGGGACGGTGCGAGCGGCGCGACCTTCCCACGCCGACGCCGGCGCAGCCATCTTTTCCCCGGGCGGAAGCGGCCTCACAGCTCTCCGGAGCGGCCAATGAGAACAGCGCGGGGATACACGTAGCCCGGCGGCGCGGCGCGGCGCGGCCCCGGCGCTTCCCACGCGCGGCCTTGGTCCGCGGCGCTCCCCGCGCAATGAAGCTGCTACGGCGCGCGTGGCGGCACCGGACGGCGCTGGGCCTGGGCGGCCTGGCACTGGGCGGTGTTGCGCTGCTCTACCTGGCGCGGTGCGCCGCGCCTCCCGACCCCGCGGTCGCCGGCCCCGCCGCACCGGCGCCCGTCGGCCCGGCGCGCGCCGCCGCCTTCCTGGCCGTGCTGGTGGCCAGCGCGCCGCGGGCGGCCGAGCGGCGCAGCGTGGTCCGCAGCACGTGGCTGGCGGCGCGGCGCGGCGGCCCCGGAGACGTGTGGGCGCGTTTCGCCGTGGGCACCAGTGGGCTGGGCGACGAGGAACGGCGCGCCCTGGAGCGGGAGCAGGCTCAGCATGGTGACCTGCTACTGCTGCCCGGGGTGCGTGACGCGTACGAGAACCTCACGGCCAAGGTGCTGGCCATGCTGGCCTGGCTAGACGAGCACGTGGCCTTCGAATTCGTGCTCAAGGCGGACGACGACTCGTTCGCGCGCCTGGACGCAGTACTGGCCGAACTGCGCGCCCGCGACCCTGCCCGCCGCCGCCGCCTCTACTGGGGCTTCTTCTCGGGCCGTGGCCGTGTTCGGCCCGGGGGCCGCTGGCGTGAGGCCGCCTGGCAGCTGTGTGACTACTACCTACCCTACGCGCTTGGTGGTGGCTACGTGCTTTCTGCCGACCTGGTGCGCTACTTGCGCCTCAGCCGCGAGTACCTGCGTGCCTGGCACAGCGAGGACGTGTCGTTGGGCGCCTGGCTGGCGCCAGTGGACGTGCAGCGAGAGCACGACCCGCGCTTTGACACCGAGTACAAGTCCCGCGGCTGCAATAACCAGTACCTGGTGACGCACAAGCAGAGCCTGGAGGACATGCTGGAGAAACACCGGACACTGACGCACGAGGGCCGCCTGTGCAAGCGCGAGGTGCAGCTGCGCCTGTCCTACGTCTATGACTGGTCGGCACCGCCCTCGCAGTGCTGTCAGAGGAAAGAGGGCATCCCCTGACGGCCGAGCTGGCCCACGCGCCCACAGGACGCCAGGGTCTCGACCCTGCCAGAAGCGGTGCTGAAAGGCCTCCCATCGGCCTTCCGCTGGCAAAGCTGACAGCTTCTGCATGGTCCTTAGCATGAGGCTGGCTCTCGAGAGGACCCGGTTTACCTGGTGACAGCAAGCTCCCAGAAGATGCCTAGCAGTGGTGGATGACTCTAAGCCCAGGAACCAGTCCATGCCCACCCGAGGGCATCTTGTTCTGTGTCTGGAACCAGTATCATGTCCAGGCAGCCCCATGCGGCCTGTTCAGTTACCTTCCTCTCCCAGGCTGATGCCAAGGAGCCAAAGGGTGGAGCTGGCGGGACTTGCAGGACCTGACTCCAAAGAAAAATTCCCAACCCCATCGGGGCAGTGGACAGTGTCATGTCCTGCAGCCACCGTACTGACCGTCCACCTGCACCAAGGGCCATGACCGCATAAACTGGGCCCTGGCACTTGGACACGAAGTGTGATGCAACCCAACAGTTTTTATTGAAGTTACTTCACCTTGTGCAGTTAGGTCATCGCTTGCGTCTCCTGCTGGTATCGTTTGTCACGTGTCATCTACTATTTAAGTCAGTTGCGTGTGAATCAGCTTTCATGGTATTTTGGTCTGTGTCTGGAGTGAATTCGTGGTACATGTAATTCAGAGATTGCCTGTGATTTATTTATAAATTTTGTAACTTTTGAATAGTTTTAAGTTGGGAGTGTATGGGTGTCTGTATGTTTTAAGTTATTTAAGAGAAGACTTTTCTATCAAAACTTGGAATTTATGGATTAATCTATTTTTCCAGCTTGCGTTGTAGACCCATTGCTGCTTGAGTGTTGAAACATGGAAGAATTCAAAAGTATCTATCTATCTTCCATTTTCATGGTAGGTGACCCCACTTCCTCTCTCTAAAAACACTTCCCTTTCAGCCTTCCTCATGGCCACACAGGGCAGGTGTTTCTGGAAGCACTGACAAGCTTTCCCAAAGTCTGTCTTGACACAGCCCTGCTGGGCTACATCCCCGTGGGGGCAGCGGGTGTTCACAGCACCTTTGCACATAGCCGAAGGTTGTTTTCCAGCTGATCAGTTGTGACCCCATGGACTGCTGCACGCCAGGCTTCCATGTCCGTCACCAACTCCCAAAGCTTGCTCAAACTCATGTCCATCAAGTCAGCGATACCATCCAACCGTCTCATCCTCTGTCATCCCCCTCTCCCGCCTTCAGTCTTTCCCAGCATCAGGGTCTTTTTCAATGAGTCAGCTCTGTTCCTTGTTAAACGTGGAGAATGAGCTCTATTGTCATGACTGAAGTCAAATAAAGTGGCAATGGAGGCCCCTCCCCAGCTGGGTGGATTCTGCATTTTCTGTTTGTTAACCGGGTCCTGCTGCCCCCTGCCTGCAGCCTGCTCTGGGGCACTGGGAACCAGACGGAGGGCACACGCCTCTGACCCGCCCCTTGGCTGCCATTCTCAGGCTGTGGATTTTAAGAATGGGTGTCTTGGCCCAGGCAGCTCACACAGTGGGTGGCTGTCTTATGGCTCTGAATGCTGGGGTTCTGCAATCGGGTGCCGGCGTGGTCAGGTTCTGGTGACGCTTTCTTGCTGCTGTGCAGATGGCCACTTTCCCACCACACTGTGGTTACAAGGTGTAACTGACCCGGCTCTGGTTACAAGGTGTGGGCTTTGCTCCAGAACTGACCATGTGGCTAGACAAGGATTCAGGGAAGGATCCAGGTTTTGGGGACACCAGGGTGAGCAGGATGGGGCCCTGCCCCCTGCTAGGTGGGCACTGGGGGATGCTGACCACAGCAGGATGCCGTTCCTACTGACTGTATGGGATGATGGTCCTGGGATGTCTTGTCTCCACCTCAGGATCATTGGAGGAGTTGGGGGACACACATGTCTGTTTCTCAGGACAGGACTCATGGAAGCCCACATGGCCAGCTCAGAGCCTCTGGACTTTCAGATCCCTGCCCAGCACCAATGTCTAAGTGCATGCATGCTCAGTTGTATCCAACTCCTTGCGACCCCATGGACTAGCCCACCAGGCTCCTTTGTCCATCAGATTCTCCAGGCAAGAATACTGGAGTGAGTAGCCATTTCCTCCTCCAGAAGATCTTCCCGACCCAGGGATCAAACGTGTCTCCTGAATCTCCTGCATTGCAGGCAGAGTCTTTGCCGCTTGAACAAGACTGCTTAGTAAAAAGTCTACAACTCCCGGCATCTGTGTTGGGGGCAGGGCACTTGTGAGCTTTAGTATTTAGTTGAACCCCCTGAAAGTGCCAGTATGTAGCCAGTTTTGACCTTCAAAAGTACAAATTTTGTATTCATCCTAGAACATTAAATTTCAGAACACACTCTGGGCTGATGGTTATTCTCCACACTGTGGCTGATGAGATGTCAGCATGTTGGAGCTGAAGGCCAGGACCCCTTCCTGGAGCCCATGGACAGGCTACATGTGAACATCACAGAGCCCAGCCTGTCACAGACCTGGAGGAGTCTCCTGTCCTCTGCCTCTCTGCTCCTGTCCGCTGTCTGAGCTGCAGATTCTCCCGGCTAAACGAGCCAAGCCCTCACCCTCTGTACCCCCTGGCTCTGTCCATTGCCTGTGGTCTGACCGCAGTGCCCCTCCCAGGCAGCCCTCCTGGTCTGCACCTCCCACCTGCTGAGGCACTTGCCATGAAGTCCATGCTCTCTAGGCGTGTATGCCCTGTGGACCTGGGGCCAGGCCAGGTTCAGAAGGCAGCAGACCTTCGGGGAGTGGGAAGTCAGACCACCGAACTGGTTTCTACAGGGGAATTTAGGATACAAGACACCTCAAGTGGTGCACAGCACACAGAGCCAAAACTCAAAGCTTAACTTAAAAATATATACAATATCACTAATTAATAAAATAGAGAAACATGGGACCTGAGAGTCTGGAGGAGGCCATATGCCCCAGGATGGTCCAGATCCAGTGAGTAGTCCTGGGGCACCCAACTGCTGGGTCACCACACAGCCTCGACTGGAACCCCCCATCCACCTCACCCCTCTAGACACCCCCAAAGCCTGAGTTCACCTGCTGTGACTCAGCAAGACCAGGGATGTAGTGGGCCAGGAGTTCGCCCAGGACACAGCTGCCAGGAGAGTCCCTAGGACAGAAAAGGGTGAGGCTCCCCTCAAGTGAGGCTGGAGGTATGCCCACCCTCCGCATTTGCCTTCCCAGCTTCCAGGCCCTGCAGTGCAGGCCTGTGTGCAGCTTGGAGCTGGAGGAGCCAGCCACCCAGCGGCCCTCTTGTCCCTGTGCACTGGCCAGCCCCTGATTCATCCCAGTGTTGCTGGATATACCAGGAGTAGACAGTAAGCTCTGGCCTTGGGAACGTCCCCCAGCCTCATGTGCACATGATGAAAATAGATTCAAAGATCCCTGGTGTTTCAAGAGCTGCAACCCTGGAAGTCTGTGCCCCCTTGCTGGAAGCCTGGAAGGGAGATGTGGGGAGGGGGCAATGCAGCCGACCCCAAGATGCTGACATCGTCATGTGGGGTGGGGGTCCTTCCCCGACTTCACCACCTCCAACCAGCCACTCAGCTGTGGGGCTGCTGGGGACCTGTCCGTAATGTGGGACCAGCCAAGCCAGCACTTGGAGTAGTAGGAGCCAGCGCTGGGACTTGCCTGGTGGTCCAGTGTTTAAGACCACTTCCACTGCAGGGGGCACGGTTTCCATCACTAGTAGGGAAACTTAAGATCCTGCATGCTGTGCTGTGCACCCAGCACGTGGAAAAAAAATTTTGTAATAGAAGCCAGCAGGGCAGCTGGGGACCCACAGCCGCTGCCCCGCAGCCTGAGCTGGCACATTGTGGGCTGTGTTTAGCCCTGCTGCCTGTCCCTCGGCAACCCCACACTCAGGCTCCTTTCCTGGGCTCCTGGCTGCAGCCTCCTCCGCCCTCCACACCAGACTCACTCCTGCCCCAAGCCCCCGCCAGCCCTGGTTTACTTGAACGTCACTTCCGCATCCTCATTTGGGGTTGGTGTGGGGGTTGCTGTCCAGGTCACCCACAACTGCTCTCACTGGTCTCAAGCCTTCCTCGGTCATCCTGGGAGTGAGCTGTCCTAGAAGTGAGCCATCCTGGGAAACTGGAGCTTTTCACCTGCTGCCTGCTGGGCCCTACTCTTCAAAAGACACCGGCAGAGAGGCAGAGCTGGTGCTGCCGGGCACGCTGGGTCCTTGGGAGGGGCCTGGGTGGCTGCCCTGGCCTCCCCAGTGGTCTTCCTAGGATGTGTCCCGCCCCCTCAGACCTTCTCCACCCATCTGCTTCAGTGTGTGGTGGGCGGCAGGGGTTGTGGGGGGGGGTGCGATCCCACAGTTGGCTGCGCTGCATCCACAGAAGATGGGTTCAAGTCCCAGCCCAAGGACCTGGGAGTGGCCTGAGTGGGAAGTAGGGTCTTTGCAGGTGTAACCAAGGTGAGGATGGCAGGGGGCCTACTGCAGAATGACTATCCTCATAGGAAGAGAAAGCAGAGGCTAGGGAGGAGAAGGCAGAGTCCAAGAAGGCTGCCAGGAGCTCCACCCCCAGTCTGCTGAGCCGTGGATTTCATCAGCGCACTCCAGAGCAGACACCTCAGACCGCTCAGCTGCTGGCCAGGCCCAATCTCACCACCTCTCAGGGCTCAGCACAGACCCAGCTGTCTGGGGGCAGGCTTCCAATGTCCAGGCTTCAGGGTGGGAGCACGTGGCCTACGGCGACCACACTGGGGTCCCCACAGACTATGCCTCCTCTGCCTGGTCCCACGTTCCCTGCATCCCTTGGCCCCCACCCAGTATCTGCAGGTCTGCCCCCAGCACACATTCACGTCGTGAGACCACTGACTCTTACCCATCCAGGGCCCAGGGAGCCCACCGCAGCTGCTGCAGACAGGCCTAAAGCACGGCAGGTGCCCAGTCCCCCACGGGGCCTCCAGCATCAGAGAACCCAGAGTCAAGATCGAGTTCAGTTGCTGCTTGATGCTT